GACCCTGTCATTTCAAGTTTACGCTTAAACCCACCAAAACAAAATCATAAACTGTCGTCAGATGCCATTAAATTATTACCAACTGTTGTAAATGCGGGTGCGGAATTGCCATCAGAAAATATAGATATGAGCTTGGATACTTCAGATGACTGCGAGTCTGACGGTGTATAAAATTGTTATTTTAAAAATATATTCCTGTACCAACAAATATGTATGTCTTGTTTATTGATTCATTCAAAATCCCGCAGTTCCCGTATAAATTTGAACATCAAGATTTTTAGAAACAAACATTAAGACCTCGAATTCTCTACCGATTTGTGGCGTGCGCCTTGATGTTGGCGCACAAAGGGGAGGGACCAACAGTTTTACGCCGCATCCGAATGGAGATTTTATTTTTATGAGAATCTGTTCTACGTGGCTGAATACACTCGGTGGTTTGCCATTGGCAGCCAAAGGGCGACTTTATTACAAAAAACTTGTTTGTTTCTTATTTTTTGATGTTGGTCGGAAACTGGGCTTGAACCCAGGCCCTGCGGAATGATAGCGTATATTGCTAACCGCTACATCACATTATATAACAAAAAGGCAGAAAACATGACCTTTTATACTTAACTACCTTAGTTTTGCTAAAAATCTGATTATTTTAAGCGTACACAGCAGCCATTATGGATCCGCCATTTTGAATTTCGAAATTATGTGGTGAAATTTAACCAGCAACCGAAATAAAGACGAATACACAAGGTTTGATTACAATTGTACCACGCTTCGACTTTTGGCCAGCTTTTTCGAAAAATTGGCCACTGTGCGCTGGCTCAGTTGTCGCAAAAGTACACATTAGAGTGGTCCAAAATAATAAAGTCGGAATTTTAATACCGCCACCCCCTAGGATTGTTCTGAACCGAAAATAAATATACCCCTATTTTTTCATTTTGAAATTTAAAAATAATTAGGGAGTGCTCACAGANAAAAAATATCGGCTGCTTGTATCCTCGGACCCTGTCATTTCAAGTTTACGCTTAAACCCACCAAAACAAAATCATAAACTGTCGTCAGATGCCATTAAATTATTACCAACTGTTGTAAATGCGGGTGCGGAATTGCCATCAGAAAATATAGATATGAGCTTGGATACTTCAGATGACTGCGAGTCTGACGGTGTATAAAATTGTTATCTTAAAAATATATTCCTGTACCAACAAATATGTATGTCTTGTTTATTGATTCATTCAAAATCCCGCAGTTCCCGTATAAATTTGAACATCAAGATTTTTAGAAACAAACATTAAGACCTCGAATTCTCTACCGATTTGTGGCGTGCGCCTTGATGTTGGCGCACAAAGGGGAGGGACCAACAGTTTTACGCCGCATCCGAATGGAGATTTTATTTTTATGAGAATCTGTTCTACGTGGCTGAATACACTCGGTGGTTTGCCATTGGCAGCCAAAGGGCGACTTTATTACAAAAAACTTGTTTGTTTCTTATTTTTTGATGTTGGTCGGAAACTGGGCTTGAACCCAGGCCCTGCGGAATGATAGCGTATATTGCTAACCGCTACATCACATTATATAACAAAAAGGCAGAAAACATGACCTTTTATACTTAACTACCTTAGTTTTGCTAAAAATCTGATTATTTTAAGCGTACACAGCAGCCATTATGGATCCGCCATTTTGAATTTCGAAATTATGTGGTGAAATTTAACCAGCAACCGAAATAAAGACGAATACACAAGGTTTGATTACAATTGTACCACGCTTCGACTTTTGGCCAGCTTTTTCGAAAAATTGGCCACTGTGCGCTGGCTCAGTTGTCGCAAAAGTACACATTAGAGTGGTCCAAAATAATAAAGTCGGAATTTTAATACCGCCACCCCCTAGGATTGTTCTGAACCGAAAATAAATATACCCCTATTTTTTCATTTTGAAATTTAAAAATAATTAGGGAGTGCTCACAGAGCTCAAAGTTTTCCATGTATTTTATATGGGGAAAAAACAAATTTTCGTAAAAATGGTATAAAACTCTTGGAAATCAATATTTTTCAATCGTAAAACCGTGTTTCTCTTCAGGAGACTTCAAATATTAATTTCCAATTGTTTATTTAACCATTTTTATGATTAAAGATTTTTTATTGGTCCCCCCATTGCATTTTGTAGGACCTATAAAATATAGTTACCATGAAAAAATGGTTAAAGGAACAATTGGGTATTATTACCGGAAGTCTCCTGAGGATAGGAAAACTTTTCCGATCGAAAAATATTGATTTTCAAGAATTCTACACAATTTCTACGAAAAGTTGTTTTTTCCCCATATAAAATACATTGAAAACTTTGAGCGCTTTGAGCACACCCTAATTTGTTCCTTTTTCAAAACAAAAAAAGAGGGGTATATTTTTTTTTGGTATAGAACAATCCTAGNTGTATGTCTTGTTTATTGATTCATTCAAAATCCCGCAGTTCCCGTATAAATTTGAACATCAAGATTTTTAGAAACAAACATTAAGACCTCGAATTCTCTACCGATTTGTGGCGTGCGCCTTGATGTTGGCGCACAAAGGGGAGGGACCAACAGTTTTACGCCGCATCCGAATGGAGATTTTATTTTTATGAGAATCTGTTCTACGTGGCTGAATACACTCGGTGGTTTGCCATTGGCAGCCAAAGGGCGACTTTATTACAAAAAACTTGTTTGTTTCTTATTTTTTGATGTTGGTCGGAAACTGGGCTTGAACCCAGGCCCTGCGGAATGATAGCGTATATTGCTAACCGCTACATCACATTATATAACAAAAAGGCAGAAAACATGACCTTTTATACTTAACTACCTTAGTTTTGCTAAAAATCTGATTATTTTAAGCGTACACAGCAGCCATTATGGATCCGCCATTTTGAATTTCGAAATTATGTGGTGAAATTTAACCAGCAACCGAAATAAAGACGAATACACAAGGTTTGATTACAATTGTACCACGCTTCGACTTTTGGCCAGCTTTTTCGAAAAATTGGCCACTGTGCGCTGGCTCAGTTGTCGCAAAAGTACACATTAGAGTGGTCCAAAATAATAAAGTCGGAATTTTAATACCGCCACCCCCTAGGATTGTTCTGAACCGAAAATAAATATACCCCTATTTTTTCATTTTGAAATTTAAAAATAATTAGGGAGTGCTCACAGAGCTCAAAGTTTTCCATGTATTTTATATGGGGAAAAAACAAATTTTCGTAAAAATGGTATAAAACTCTTGGAAATCAATATTTTTCAATCGTAAAACCGTGTTTCTCTTCAGGAGACTTCAAATATTAATTTCCAATTGTTTATTTAACCATTTTTATGATTAAAGATTTTTTATTGGTCCCCCCATTGCATTTTGTAGGACCTATAAAATATAGTTACCATGAAAAAATGGTTAAAGGAACAATTGGGTATTATTACCGGAAGTCTCCTGAGGATAGGAAAACTTTTCCGATCGAAAAATATTGATTTTCAAGAATTCTACACAATTTCTACGAAAAGTTGTTTTTTCCCCATATAAAATACATTGAAAACTTTGAGCGCTTTGAGCACACCCTAATTTGTTCCTTTTTCAAAACAAAAAAAGAGGGGTATATTTTTTTTTGGTATAGAACAATCCTAGGGGCTAGCGGCTTTAAAAATGCGACCTTATTTTTTTACATACATTTTTGGACCACTTTAGTACACATACATACACGCATTTTTACTTGAAAATAAGTGTGTAGTGGTTAATATGTATACGTTTCCATCTCCGTACAGCTCACTTCACCTCGCCTAGCACGCTCGCGTGCTCGCAGTTTGCCCGCGATGTCGACTGCGTGCACCTCTGCTGTGCATCCCTAGACTACATAGTTGAACAGGTATGATATTGACACTCTAAAACCATTTCGAAATTTGGACAGATTTTAAACAGCAGTTTCCAAATTTGTTTCACACAGCTTATCAACATAGTGAAATTATAAAAGGTATGCCAGCCAGTTTGATGTACGCTTATTTCAAGGCAAAATTTGAGTTTCGTCATTTTCGCTCTTTCAATTCTGGTATTAATCATGGTTTTGTTACATACCTCTGCCCGATTTCGGCTAAGATCCTCATCGTGATGCCCTGAAAACATCAGTAGTGCAACGTTATGTGTGCTTTTGCACAAGCGGCAAGAATTTATTGACATGGTGTTTTAAATTTTTGCTCAAATCAAAAAAACTTCATAACTTTTCACTTAAAAGGGTTAACATGAAAGCATCGTATAGTTCCATAAGTAACGTAACTCTTCTTCTTACCGTTTTTTCTGGCAGGCTGTGAGTGTGTTTTAAGTGAAAAATGGTAAAAGATAAGAGCAAATGTCAAAAAACAGGTGATCTCAGCTGTAGGCATTTTTTTGCAATCAGCTGATAGTGTTTTTACTTATGACACTGTACGATGCATGAAAGTTAAATGAAGGAAAAAATTATGATAATAAATTGCCAAGTAAGTGTACAGAAATATAAGTCATTGCTAGCTGGCACACTTCATATTATTTGATTATGCTTATAAACATTTAACAATTATCGCCACTTCCGAAAATTTTTTTCGAAGGTTGCTCAAAAGAACTGAAAAAATTTGGATTTGTAACTGTTCAAATTAATTAATACATTTCACTGTGAGTTATTACTTAAACGCTTATCGAAGCTACGATCGTTTCATTTTTATATTTTTAATTGATGACTGTTGATATTTTCATTCGATGCATTGAAAATATCGATGTTTTTATACGATACATCGATATGGATGCTATATTTCGATGCATCGATGTATTTTTTTGACTTGCATCCCTACTCGGAGTACAGCTACTGAGGGCCTTTGCCAATTGATAGAAAAGAGAAAATTTTGAAAGATCAAACAAAAACTTTGAGATTTCTAATTTTTTTCAATTTTTACAGCCTCTAAATTCGTATTCACATAACATTGGTTGGCGGTAATAAAGAGTCAAAATCAAAATAAAGTCTGGAAAAGAACAAAAATCATACGTTAGTTGTCAGTTAAAAAATAAATCAAATTTGTCGACGATGAAGGAGAGCGAGGTGGCAACCTCACTCTATTCGACTAGTTTCTAAAATTCCTCTAAACAAAAATCCTCCAGAAAGTTGTTTTTGTATAAACTCACTGAATTTATCTACTGAAGTATGAAATGAAATTGAAATGTAAAAAGCTACAATTAAAGATATAAGCGCGACCGTCGTACAGCACGGACGTGCCTTTGAGTCATTTTAAGTCTCAACTCGATTTAATTATAGAATTTCGTACATTTGTACCTCTTTATTTGAAGTCATTAAATATTTTATCCAAAGAAAATCTAACTCTTTTATTCCTCGTTCCGACCGAAATCTCCCTTTAATATAGCGGCGCTATATTAAACATGGTCCTTACGCCGTCAAGTAAAAAAAAAGAATCGGCATAAAAGTAAAAGCGATGTTATCGTACATAACGAGCCAGTCGAAGAAACTAAATAAAAACGCGGTTATTACATGAAATTACGTACAAAAATCAAGACAATCGAACTGAAAAAAAAAATTGTGTAAAAGAAGAACTTTTAAATTGTGGAAGACACTTGTGAATTTATAAAAACATATAAAAAAATAAAAAAATCTCCAAAACGAAGTGAAAAACACATGTTCATGTGATAAACTGAAAATTACCACTTAAGGGAAAACGCTTTAACTCAAATACAAAAGTATTATTAAAATTTGAACAAATATTACAGACTAAAACGCGAATATAAGTAAAAATAAAATTTATTAAAAGATTCTAGAACCAAAGAATCAAAAACCCAAAACTAAAAAGAAGCGGACTAGAAGAGAGAAGACGTGAACCCCGGAGTACGTGGAAGTGGAGCTTCAGGAACTTTGCAGCCAGCTTAGAGCAAACACATTCCCAAGGAGAAGACTCTGCCCAAACACTTACTCGGAAAATAAAATATTTGGTAACTGTAAAGAAAATGGCACAGTAAGTAGCGTTCCAAATTTTCTACCCAGTTACAGCGAACTTTGTAGAAACCTTTCGCAAAAATTCCCGCCCTTTTTGCATATAAATTGGAATCAGTTAATTCCATATACATATGTATGTACATATATACATATGTATATATGTAACACCGTAAAGGAGAGACAAAAACTGTATTGGCGAATTTGCGCGAAATTTGGTACTAAAAATACATACATATATCCCATAAAATTGGCGGAAATTTGCACATGAAAAGAAAGAAATAGCAGTGCTTATTTTTTATATTAAATAAAAAGCAAACCAAATCAGTCGCTACAAAATTCGCTATAACAAAAGAGTACATAAATACACACATGTACATATGTACATACATAGATTACAAGTGCATTATATATACATATGTAAATTAGCTCTCTGCTCAATCTTCCGTAAATACAGGTACGTGTATAAATATACTCATACATACACATCTATACACTTACATATGTCCCACTCAATCTTTGTTACACTCAATCTATATATATACCCTGCAAACACATAAACCAATCCTAGTAATTACAATAGCGCAATTGTTTAAATGAACGATATTTAATCGACTTCAATTTAAGTCACACTTGGCTTTTAAATTCCACATTTGTAGTATAATTCTTTATAATTATATTTCACGTTAAAAAAAAAAAAAAA